TCAAAACACCTACCAGAGAAGAGACTGTAGGCTGATTCCATCATGAAGTCTCCACACCCGAAGTCGATCAGCTTGACTTCCAGTGTGTCGGGGTTCACCAGCAGGTTTTGAAGCTTAATATCCCGGTGGAACACCCCGCGGTAACAGCACACATTGGCCGCATAAACAGCTTGCCTCATGATGGTATGTGCTGTTTTCTCACTGAGGACTCCACCGCTGACTTCAAGGAATGCCTCCAGGTCCATGCTTGGACTAGGCCGCTCCATCACCATGACGTAATGGTTTTCAAAGACCTGCCAGTCCAGAAGCTGAATAATGTTCGCACACCTGGAGCCACCGCTGGCCATGTTTGCCAAGGTGATCTCTAGAGGAAGTGGCTGGTCACATGACTGAAAACAAAATAATAATGTTGGTTTTCAAACAAGGGTTTCTGACCACAGCCTGTGGTCTATAATAAATATAAGACTTTATAAACTGAACACAGCGAACAGAAAGTGTAGTCTACTCACAGAGCTGACATCTTGCATATTTGGGGTCTTCTGGACAAATTTAACTGCCACCTGTTTAAAGGAACAAGCGAACAATTAACATGTGCACGGAGATCATTTCATTCAGTCATAAATCCTGAACAGAGGATTCATTCGTCAGCAGAAATGTCCAAACAATGAAAGCTCTGATGATGTTCTTTAAACAGGGAACTTCATCAGAGGATTTGAGTCTACAAAAATGAATACCTGCAGACCATCCTGTATGCGAATCCCCTCATACACGGAGCCGAAACCTCCTTCACCAAGCTGCTTTCCGAGTTTGTAGCGGCAGCTGATGTCATCTGTTAAAAATGAAGAAAATGTCATTAAATTATAAACCAAATAAAAACACAAACAGTTGAAGTCAGAATTATTGTCAGATTTCAGAACATGATAGTTTTAATAACTCATTTCTAATAACTGATGTCTTTTATCTTTGTCGTGATGACAGTACATCATATTTACTGGATATTTTCCAAGATACCCGTGTTCAGCTTAAAGTTCTGAATACTTAAACTTTATTGCTCTGCATCATTTGGGAAATATTTAAAAAATATTAACAAAAAATCACAGGAGGGCGAATAATTTTGACTTCAACTGTATAATTTTACAAAGTTTGATGAGCCTAAACAAATGTTCTGAACTCCAGCAATAAACTTACTATTGTCCAAGCAGGTCCCATCATCTGCTGTAGACTTCACAGCAGAGTCCTCTTGCGAGACCTGATCCGGTAAGGGGTTCGAGTTTTCATCCAGGGCAGAGTCACAGATGTCATCTGTTATGAGCTGCTGGCTCACTGGAAGTTCATTGTCCTCATCGGATGGTGAACTTGGAGGACTATCAAGCTCTTGCTCCAGGCTGTCCTCACTGAGGGAGGATTCGTTGTCTTCTGGGAAGTGAAGCTCTGCAGAGTTGTTCTCAATGACCACTGCAGAGTCAAAGCTGTTCACTTCCGGTTTAGAGTCCAAATCTTCGTCTGCTGGAGCATCAAGAGCTGGAGGTTGGAGAACTTCCAGCTCCAGGTTGCTCACAGCAGTGCAGAAGAATTTAGAGCTACTGATGGGCTCTGCGTGAAGTTCGTGGATCTCCTGCACACATAGCTGATCTAAAGAGAGGAAGGAACATCATTAATATGACTCTACAACTCTTTTTGACAAGATATTTGAACAGATCATTTGCAGAAACATTACTCAATGTGTTTTTATTGATGATCTTCATGGGTTTTCTGCATTGAATTAGCAAACAAGTAAACTATATATCTAAAGGCAAAGCTCACTGAAATAAAAAATCCTAATACAAATAATTCTTATTTTTTCTGTTTTTTACACAAAACTACAAATTCTGAAGAAAATTCCTGAAATCAGCAGCCATTAACCTTCATTGTAGGAACACAAAATACTGTGGAAGTCAATGGCTGAAAGCACCTCAAACAGGTTTAAGGAGTAAATTATGACAGAATTGTCTTGTTTATGTGAACTGTGGCTTTAAGAAACTCTTTCTAAAATGTCTTCCAGTAATGTTCATTTCTGATCTTTAAACACTTATGTGATGTGTTTGGTGTGTTTAACAGTATGCTTTAGTAATTAAAAGTGCTCATAAATCTATTTTACCAACAACAGTAGCTCTTCTTCTGGAGAAACAGGTGAAGAAGATGGGAGACAATTTGAGTTTCCTCTTTTTCTGTCTCCCTGCCTGTTTTCCTGCAGCGACGGCCGGGTCATCGGTCATCAGATGACGGTGATTCTCTGTCGTGCTGCCGGTGGGTTCGAGTGGCTCACACGGTTGTTCGTTCGCACACTTAACACCAAACGCTTTCTTCAGACGGTTAATCAGTTTTGAAAATGCCATTTTATCACTGTACTGTTGAATCGCAGAAAGTACTGAACTACTAGACATCCAAAGAAGCTACTGAGAGTTTCTGCTACGTCAAAAGCTTTTTACTGTCACCGATGATGTCAGAGTTCCACAGTTCCATTTGGTATGACGTAGAGACTTTTTAAAACACAACAAACTTCTAATGCAGGCCCGCGCTAGACTGACTGGCTCATTCGCCTTAATGTGCTCACACAGCCACCTGCTTATACACATTTTTTCCAATTATTAATTAAATTAATTTTGCACTTAGGCCTATGTATTTTTTTCTGTCATGCACAACTTTTCTGCGTTTTGCTTTTTGTTACAATTTTTACCATGTTTATATATATTTATACGCGTGTGTGCGTGTGTGTGTGTGTGTGTGTGTGTGTGTGTGTGTGTGTGTGTGATTCATTCATTTATTTTGAGTAGCTTATTTCAGTTATTTTATATTTTCATTATCAATTATTTATCCTTTTTAACAGTATTATTATTATCATTTATATTATATTTTATATATTATGGTTATATAAATTTGTTATTGTTGTGAATTCTTTTTTAAATGAATAATGCTTCAAATCATAAATTAAAAAGAAAAATGTGCAACAAAATGAAGTTATCCATGTATTACCTGCAACCGCCAGTAGGTGGTGGTAGGACACTGTCTTAAGTGAATAAGACATTTATTCAGCATTAAAGCAACTGTTGTATTTATGAATAGGTCAAGGATGAATCGACTCTAACAATTTATTTAAATCCACAGATTAATTCTTCTAATATCTAACGTTTTTTACTGTATGTCACAGGCTAGTTAGCTAGTGCTAATTAGCATTTGATGCTAATGCTAACATCGATGCAACTTAATGTAACTGTAATGTAATATATTAATGTTATATTAACGGTACTGTAACGTTAAACTAATTATTGTTTACTTAAAAGCTCGATCAAACCTTTAATGTTAACATCAGTCAGATTGATTGCTAATTGAGTGATTCTGTTAATATTACATTATTTACTTTAATATTACACTAGATAACCTTAGGAACTATACAGTGAGAGGAATTATTTAGTTTTATATTACAGAAACTCGATATTTATTTTCTATATTTTTGTTAGGCCACAGTTTGAAATGCCATTCTGCAGGCTGAAATGGCATATTTAACACAATTAACCACGGCTTTACTACAATAATACAGTCAGGTTTATTTTGTGTGGATAAATGTAAGTTTACTGTAATAAAACTATGTTTTTTTCTTATTGGCTAAATGGGCTCATGAAAGTGTTTCACATAGAAATGAACAAATAATAATTAATAAAAATTAACTAGTAGGTGCTGTGCAGGTAATCCTCACTCCGCTGACCTCTAAAGTTGCTCTGGCGACAGATGCTAGAGATCATTGGTCTTTAGCCTCCTTGTTAGAGCAACCGACTTTTATGCGGTAGGGCGCCGGTTCGATCCCAGCTCGGAGCGGGTCGGGTGGCGTAGGACTGGCGAGGTTACACACAATCAAAGTGCTTTACACATTGGGGGGAACATGTTTCCCGAAAGCCATTTTGAAATGGAAACAATATTTTTTTTTTCCCCATTTATCAATGATATTTGGTCAACAATACATTTTTACTTCCAAATAAAGTAAAAGAAATTCATTTCAAAATGTTACCCTGGTACTACTATCCCTGCAATATATTTAATAAAAAATAAATAAATAAATAAATAAAAAAAACATTTCACGACAATGTTCTTTTTGTACTTGTAAGTTTTCTGATGATTTTTGGAAACAGGTTTCAGGGTTGATTTTTGATTCATTTTACAAAAATAATTAACTTTGACGAATGCATGATTCTTTTTTTGAATTGTAAAACTGGCTATGATAAACTCGATAATGAATTTGAATTTGAATTTGATCATTTTTCTTGGGAAGTTTCACATACACAAGGCAAAATTAATGTCTATTACTCCCTCCTTTATTTTTTTCTGTAAATATTTAAAAATATCTTATAATTCTTTAACCTTAATTACAAGAAACAAGAAGGCTATAAAAACCTCTCTAGTAATGCAAATTATCTATACAGTCTAATAATTTAAATATGATAGATCCCCTCACATATAATGTAGTAATTTTTATGTAATCACTAAGTTTTGAATGACTGTTACATTTACAATACCAAAAAAAAAAAAAAATTTGGGCAGTGGCCAACCGCTTCTCTTTTTCTGGGATTTTTAACGACCACAGAGAGTAGGGACCTCAGTTTAACAACTCATCCTAAAGATGAGTAACTTTAAATGATTTTTGTTTAATCTTGATTAATGACAGTAATTAAGGTAGGTAAAATAAGCAAGGTTCACTGTGGTGAGATCTTCTAAAGGCTTAACCTTTAACATTTAAAGGCTTAACTAGGTTATTTAGGTTAACTAGGCAGGTTAGGGTAATTATTTAGGGTAATTATTATTATTATTATTATTATTATTATTAAATTGTTAAACTGAAGTCATAATTAATAAACTGAAGTCATGTGCTTGCTGGGTTGTGGAGTGATTACACTGGTTGACTCTAGATGGCGGTGTATTTCAGGGATTCAATGAGCTGCTCATAACAGCGTCAGAGAACAAGAAAATCCGAAAAAACAACAACAACAACAGAGGAATTAGAGAGCGTGGACAGCGAATCACTGACTAATCAACGCTTGGACATTTCTGTGACATCTCATTGTGTTTGCAGTTTGAGAATCAGCCTAACACTACTCATGCAACCTGGTGAGTCAAAGGCGTTAATGATGGAGTCCCATTAGACAGGAACTACGGGCTAAGTCGCAGCATAGTTTGCAGTACATTTTTGTATTTTAATAACCAAATTAAATTAGTTTTTAAATGCAAAAGCTGCATTGTAAATTTATTGAAACCTGATTTGTCTATGAGGTGAGTGATGAATTATTAGCCCTCCTGAATTATTAGCTTCCCCCAATTGAATAGTGCTAATTTTGTCATATTTACAAAATATTGTAATATATATGTCATATTTATGTGATTTCAGTTAAATATTCAAAGTACCATGGTAAACAATATAGGGAGCTAGTTGTCATTGAACAAATGTGCGAGAATTAAACCAACTTTACCTTAATAAATGTGGTAATATCATTGGCCCATGAACATTTCCTGCTTTTTATAATACTATTTTATAACTGTAACAGGCAATTCAATCATGTTTTCACGTTAAAACAGCTGTCATAACGTTATTTATGAATATATGGACCTTTTTGGATTTTTAATAGCTATTGAAATTAAAGATGTAAAAGAGAAAATGCGTTACGACCATTGTTATTGTTTACATTTCTCAAAATGATTGACGCAAAGTTGGTTTTATATTCGCACATTCGTTCAATGACAACTTGTGACACGCTCCCTATATTGTTTACCATGGTACTTTGAATATTTAACTGAAATCACATGTAAATATGACTTCTAAACAACATTAGCACTATTCAATTGGCTGTGAACAGTGTTGTACTTTGATACTTGCCAGCTGCTAATGTAATTTGCTATGTAGAATTTGCAAATAACACTTTTCTGAAATCATATTATTAAGGATTATGTGTGAATATAAATCCAACTTTACCTCAATCTCAAAATGCCCTCCCAATGTCTATAGAGGTGAAGTTGGTTTTATATTCGGATATTCAGACCTTCTCCTTAATTATATAATTTCAGAGAAGTATTCTTTGCCAATTCTAAATTGAAAATCATATTAACAGCCATTGACTATCAAAGTACAACATTGTTCACAGTCAATAAGATAGTGTTGATGTTGTTTTGAAGTCATCTCTACATGCTAATTCTGATTTAATATTCAAATTAACATGGTAAACAATATGGAGACAGTTAAATGAATGAAAGTGCAAATATAAAACCATATTTACCTAAGTCCAATATCTGATTAACGCAAAGGAGATTTTTTTCAACACATTACCAAACATGATAGTTTTAATAACTGATTTCTTTTGTCTCTGCTGTGTTCACAGCACACTATATTGATATTTTTTAAGATACTAGTATTCAGCTTAAAGTGCTTTAACACTAACAGCTAAAGGCTTAAATAAGTTAGGGTAATTAGTAGGGCCAGACAGAATCTGGGGACATGTTTTGCTATTTCTGCAGGGGATTTTGTAAAAAAAAAAATCTGCGGATTTATGTGGAATGATTTTAGGAGTATCAACTAAAAACTAAAACAATAATACATTTTTAACTTTTATTTAATGTTTACTATGTAAATTCAATTAGATCCACTTATTTGGTTAACAAAGCAAGTTTCATATAACATATTTACTAAAGGACAGAAAATATTACTTTAAAAACTGTATTTTAAATAAATCTTATGAACATTTTAATATTAGTATTATTATTGTATCACAATAATATTAGTGAAATGAATTTAAAAACTCTCATCTTCGTGTGTGTTAATCAACAGGTTAAGATGTCATTATGGGTGGCACTGCTGTCGGTGGCGTCATTGGGGTGAGGTGTGGAGTTCCTGCTGTTTTGCTGTGTCTAGGAGCTCTGCTGTGCGCCAATGTGCTGCTCTATTTCTACCTGGATGCCCTGTATCAGAACACAAACCCTCCGTCAGCACACACACAATGTCCTCCTCGCCACTTTAAAGTGGGCACTATGAGCTCCTGCAGCCCTTGGTTAAAGTGTCCAGAAATCCGCTCTGGGGTTCGCCGTGTGAAGCTCATTGGACAAGGAGCTGTGAAGAAGGTGAGTTTGGTGAGATTGGTTCTGCAACAAATGTTTATTTTGATAATCAGTTAAAATCAAATTAGGGATGCAGCTAAACTTACACATTCATATTTATTGAAAGGGGAAGAGAGACTCATTTTTGACTTGACATATTTTATTACAATGTATATTTTAAATGAGATTAGAATGGACGCAGTTCATTCAGTTACTGCCACGGAATAAAAAATTAAGTAAATAATAGGAATGCTCATTTCGGTTAATTTTGCTAACCGACAACCGCCGCTCATTAATCGGTTATTAACGGTTTACTGGTCAGATTACTATTAATTTTATATTAAACAAATTGACGTGTCTATTTTGTGTCCGACACATTAAATATTGCATTTTAAAATACTGATTTATTTTTTTATGCTAGCATATTAATAATAGAACAATACAACAGAGCATTTTCACGCACCTGCAGTGTTTAGCACAGAAGAACATAATAAACTAAATAAAATAAATAGGACTGCCCTAAATTATTTTCCACTTAAATAATTAATTTATATTACAAATCGAAAACACTGACTGATTCTTTTTAATAACCGGCATAGGCTGTTTTTTTCCAATCATATTTTTGTCTTCCGTCAAATAAAATAGCTGACTATGCATTTATGCATTTATTTAATGCCCCGCTGTTATTATTATATCACAAAACATTTTTACATTTTTAATAGAATCATTATTTTAAAGATTATGTCTTGATATAGGCTATGGTTTCCTTTCTCTCCATCGCGGTTCAAGTGTGCACGCTGCGTGGTGAAAAGACAACAACAACATGCGCATATGCTGACTTTTTGTAAACAGTTTTGTTGTTTAAATATGATATTGCATTAATGTGCATACATGCTTTATAAGCTGTAAAATAAAAAGTAAAGCCTATTTGTTGCGTTTATGACGCATATCAAGGTCAACATCAGCGCTTTTTTGGCATCAACACGTCTGTTTCAAACAGCAATATTCTTCTTCCATTTTGCTTCTTTGGCAAATGTGTCTGTAAGCACGGGTTATACGTTATCGTCCCGCAAGTTAAGTATGTCTTGCAGTTGAACAAGTGGCCGACCACAGCTACGTGCTTTTTTCATTCCAAAAACGTGAGGCGCACCTCACTGCCTTTATGTTGACAAGGAAAAAAGAAGAGAAGAAGCGCGGTCCTCTTATGAAACGACTGAATCAGCTGGGTATCGATTGTGCAAAAGTGTTGCTGTCTGTGTTGTTACAATTGTATTATTTAATAATATTGTGATATTCAAGATTTGTACATTCATACAGCTCTGGATAACTTAAAACAGCGATTAGACCATCAGAGCGGTGTTAATGCGTCCTGAAGTAAAGCGAAACGGCTATAAACTCCAGCAAGATAGAGTGATTATATACAGAGCCAAATACCTTTATCTATAAATAAAGTATAACTATAGAAACTGTGTTCATCTTAACTGAAAGCTTCTGCGTGTTTGCTGTCCTCACGCATCATGCACCTGTCAGTCGGTCAGTCAGCACGTAACCCCAAATGGTTAAACAGATAGCGCACAGCACTATACGGTTACAGAAAAGTTTGTGCTGTTATTATCCACTTCTCTTTTAATACGTTTTGATGCGATTATAATCCGCTAATAAAAAACAACAACAACAATAACTGAATGTTTTGAATGGGTAATGTAGCCGTGGCGGGATGCATTTTGGTCCCTGCCATGGAAGAATGAATGTAGCAGAAACCAAGCTCTTTAAAAGTTCTCTGTAGTTGTCTTGACAAAACAAACTGCTGCTCTGGGATGAGCCGCGTGCAAAAGATGCAGCTCTTAACGCAAAGGCGCATTCAATCGGCCCCTTATGCAGCCAAAGTAAAAATATATATTATTAAGTCAGAATTGCGAGTTATAAAGTCAGAATTGCGAGTTATAAAGTCAGAATTGCGTGTAATAAAGTCAGAATTCTGAGTGATAAAGTCAGAACTATTAGTTATTAAGTCAGAATTGCGAGTGATAGTCAGAATTCTTAGTTATAAAGTTAGAATTCTTAGTTACCAAGTCAGAATTGCGAGTCATTAGATCAGCATTTTGAGTTTTTAAGTCAGAATTCAGAGTTAAGTCACAATTGTTAGTTATAAAGTCAGAATTGCGAGTTATTAAGTCAGAATTGCGAGTTACAATGTCAGAATACTTAGTTATTCAGTCCGAATTGCGAGTTATAAAGTCAAAATTATTAGTTATTAATTCAGAATTCTTAGTTTTAAAGTCAGAATTGCAAGTTTTAAATTCAGAATTTTAAGTTATAAAGTCAGAATTGCGAGTTATAATGTCAGAATTCTTAGTTATTAAGTCAGAATTGCGAGTTATAATGTCAGAATTCTTAGTTATTAAGTCAGAATTCTTAGTTTTAAAGTCAGAATTGCGAGTTTTAAATTCAGAATTTTAAGTTATAAAGTCAAAATTGCGAGTTATAATGTCAGAATTCTTAGTTATTAAGTCAGAATTGGGAGTTATAAAGTCAGAATTGCGAGTTATAATGTCAGAATTCTTAGTTATTAAGTCAGAATTGCGAGATATAATGTCAGAATTCTTAGTTTTAAAGTCAGAATTGCGAGTTTTAAATTCAGAATTTTAAGTTATAAAGTCAAAATTGCGAGTTATAATGTCAGAATTCTTAGTTATTAAGTCAGAATTGGGAGTTATAAAGTCAGAATTGCGAGTTATAAAGTCAGAATTGCGAGTTATAATGTCAGAATTCTTAGTTATTAAGTCAGAATTGCGAGATATAATGTCAGAATTCTTAGTTATTAAGTCAGAATTGCGAGTTATAAAGTCAAAATTATTAGTTATTAATTCAGAATTCTTAGTTTTAAAGTCAGAATTGCGAGTTTTAAATTCAGAATTTTAAGTTATAAAGTCAGAATTGCGAGTTATAATGTCAGAATTCTTAGTTATTTAGTCAGAATTGGGAGTTATAAAGTTAGAATTATTAGTTATTAATTCAGAATTCTTAGTTTAAAAATGACAGAATTCTTAGTTATTAAATCAGAATTCTTAGTTATAAAGACATAATTGCGAGTTTTAAAGTCAGAATTCTTAGTTTTAAAGTCAGAATTGCAAGTCATAATGTTAGAATTGCGAGTTATAAAGTCAGAATTGCGAGTTAGGTCAGAATTCAAGCTATTGCAAAGACATGTGAATTAACCCTTCAATTTTCGTGACTTAAATTGCGATGAATCAACAATCACAAATCTTGTCAGTCACATTTACCCTTTTTGCCTTTTCTTTCCTAGGTTTATCTGTCAGAGTGGCAAGGACAGAAGGTGGCGCTGTCTGTCCTGTCTTCAGATCAGTATGCAGATGACTTCCTCCATGGACTGTCAATGCTTCGTGCCTTGCAGAGCTCTCACGTGGTGACGCTGGTAGGTGTGTGTGAAGAGGACGCTGTGTTTGTTACTGAATACCACCCTCTTGGTTCAGTGCTGACGCTCGACACCACACTCGCGCAAGAACGCTATCGCTGGCGAAACTCCTGGCACACTCGCCTACAGCTGGCAATAGACTACGTGGCCTTCCTGGCATACTTGCACAGCAGTCCGGCGGGGATCAGAGTAATGTGTGACTCTAACGACCTGCACAAAACCCTCAGCCAGTTTCTTCTCGCTTCTGACATGCGTCTGTTGGCCAATGACCTGGACGCCCTGCCTGAGGTGGAGAAGGGGGGGTTAGGAGTGAAATGTGGGCATCATGAGCTCACTGGGGACTTCGTTGCTCCTGAGCAGTTGTGGCCTTATGGTGAGGATTTTTCCTTCTCAGATGAAGCCATGCCCGGGTACGACGAAAAGACGGACATCTGGAAGATTCCTGACGTGACACGCTTCCTGTTAGGGGACGTCTTGGGAGGTGATGTCATCCACTTCCACTTGTTTCAGATTTACAGCGAGTGCAAGAGGAAGGAGGCTCACATGAGGCCCACGGCCCGCGAGGTCCTGAGTGTGTATCGCTCTGTGTATGACAGTATGATGGAGAGCCAGTCGCAGAGAGTTCGAGATATGCTGTAGTGAGAGGAATCATTAAAAGGCCAGAAGTGAAAATTCTGTAGTCATTTACTTCACACATGCTTGCGTTCTTGTGAAATTTTGAGAAGTCAATGGTCACTCACTGATTATAAAAAAAACACACACACACACACATTTTGAGTCTCTATGCAGTTACATTGACCATAATTTAAGTTATGAAAGCAAACAATATACTTTTTTTTGTTTTATATTAATTATGACGTATTTAAAGGAAGACTCTTTGGCAAATAGGCTCATTTTTCAAGTCACTCAGAGTTAAACTGTTGAGTTTGATCATTTTAATCCGTTCAGCTGATCTCTGGGTCTAACAAATAGTCCAAAATCCTTGATTATTACTCCAGAATGAGAGTATAGTAAAGATTATAGAATACACATGACGTGTCACTCGTATACTTTCGAATGGGAAAAGTGAAACAGTCAATATGGCGAATGAAGCCCCGCCTTCTAGTACAGGAGCCAATCAGTGATTGATATATGGCAAATAAAGCCCACCTTTTAGTACATGAGCCAATCAGCGATCAGTATAGAATGACAATTCTCCAGGGGAGGGGCTTGGACTAGATGTGAGTTTCTGCAAATATTGTGTGATATGGACATTTATAAATGAAACTAAAAGGACAGTTACTGTTTAATTTTATTGGTTATTCATAGTATGTAATGTAATCGTAATCTTGGCTAGCAGTTTTGGAGAATTTGATGTTTACCCATTCAAACAGAATGCCTATGCATACTTCTCTAGAGGCGATTGAAAGATGTCCGCCGAGTGAAATGACCTGCCTTAAAGGGACTTTGAGTATAGTTACTAGCCATGTCAAGCTGGTCTTGGTGCATACTTTAACTACACAAGAGTCAAGTTTTACTTGGAAAAACTCTTTGGAATTGTTTGAGCGAGATGCTAATGGTCTAATCTGATTCAAGGATCTATGCTAAGCTAAGCTAAAAGTTCTTCTGTCAGACCCGGAGTTTGTCTAGAATAGATTTAAAGAGCCTCTATTATACATTAAAAAGGAGGGGGGGTCTCCAACAACAGGCTGATGTGCATTCAAGGTCAAATAACACTTTCATTGTCTTAGAATACGCATTTATTATTACCTAATTATCCCAGCGACTCACATTTCGCAATTAATTTGTACCTAAACCCCTCCCTAACGTGATGCTAATCTGCACTGATTGGTCCTATGGTACTCTGTTGTGATTGGTTGACAGTGTTTAGCGCAAGACAGAGAGAAATGCCCACCATGGCTTATCAACAATATTGAAGTAGTCAGAGTGCAGAGTGTATGTGTGAGTATACCTGCCAACACTCACGTTTTTCTCAGTAGTCTCCCGTAATTTCAGACCCATCTCCCGCCACCCTCCCATTTTGTTATTTATCCCGGAAAACTCATGATGGCCATAGCAACGACATGCACCAGTGGATTGCAGTGAATCGCATTTACTTACACTTGTGAAATGGAGGAAGAAACTGGTCCATGAACTGTGTACTATAAAGTTCCTGTTAAGCTCTGACAAAGTCCCACACATCAATAGTCTTTTCTGATCCTTCTTTTAACAACCAGCCAATGAATCCGCTGTTGTAAGCGTGTAGATTGCTGAAGCACTTGTCAGAAAAATGACAAGAATACAGCACAAGCCTGGGCTGTAATGCTGAGGTATTATTGCAAAAATAAACCTCAACCACTGACTCTTCACTGTTTCATCTTTGAGTAGAGAAAATAACACTAACTTTCCCCTCACACTTCAGAGCACAGCGTCTTCGTGACATGATTCAACTGGCGTCTGCTACAGTGTCCTTTTTTTTTTGGCTACTGTGTTTGTGGGCGGGGCCGGGGTTTTAAAATTTTCCCGGCATTGCACGTGCAACAAATGGGTGGGGCTCAAGTTCCATATTCTTGTCACGCCAGCACAGCTAAAGACTCGTTATCAAGACGATTAATTTGAAGCACTGCGAGTTGACTCTTTTATAAATGAATCAACAGTTTTAAACACTGCACACTTGCAGATTTAAGTCTTACCTGGATAATTCACTTCACTTAGAGCTGTGTTACACAATACATGGAAGGTCATTCTCAAAAACCCATAATAGAGGCTCTTTAAAAAAAAAAAAAAGGAAAAGTCTGTCATCATTTCTGATTTTACTCTGTTGAACATAAAAAAAGATATTTTTAATAATGCTGAAAACCTTAATCATTGATGGTCAGTAGTTTTTTTCCTGCTATGGAAGTCAATAGCTAGAGGTTTTCAGCATTATTGAAAATGTCTGCTTTTGTGTTTAACAGAAGAAAGAAACTCATAACGATTTCAAATATGCAGAGGGTGAGTAAATGATGGAATCATTTTTATTTTTACTATTAATTTCACTGTTAATTTAAGTGATTGAGGTTAATTTCAAAGCCTCACAAAAATACTTTATAATCTGATATAAAACTATATTTTTTTTCATTTATTAAAATAATTTCGAATTTTTAAAAAGCTTTTTCAGTTTCAGTTTTCAGCCAAATGCATCTAGAATTTTCCATTTCAGCCCACAAGTTTCATTTCAGTGCATCCCTAATCTAATAAGAGGCCCTTATTGTGTTGCACAACTAAAAAAAAAAAAAAAAAAAAGATGGCTAAACATCTAATTATTATAAACATTTTAAATTATAAACATTTAATTACTATAAAAATAGAACCAAACATTTTTTCCAAATGCCATAATCATTAACCATATCGTTATTATTAACAAAATGATTGTTAATAGACATTTAAAAAATACTTATTTAATGTGTCGTAAGTTTATTGGTGGGCAACTTGATTGTTTTATGGTAAACTCAGTTACATTTATAAAAACAATCAAGTTAACCTAATTGATTTGTGATGGGACAAGGAAGTATGTGGAACCCAGCATTTTTTAGCGTGCAGTATATAAAAGCTTGGAATGTGGCTGAGTAAGTTATGACAGAATGATGATTTTTGAGTGAACTAAGTCTTGAAGTTACTGACACTGAAGCAGTGCAGTGGGTTTAGTTGTAGTTGTGTGGCACTGATAACAATATGCAGCAAACATGACAACAACATCCAGCTTGGATGAGATGCAGCATCTCAGGGTTTTGGATGATCAGCTCCATATACTTACAGTCTGCTGATTAAGCTGTTTTTCACAACTATACCTCATAACAGATCTTTTCAGCTGATCGAATATAAAACTGATGCAGTGACTGATTATGTGTAGTGATCCTAGTTTTAGCTTAACAGGAGAGCGATTATCATTTAAACTACTGAACTTTTGCATACTTTTGTTCTCTGTATTTTCAAAGCCTTTAATAAACAATTTTCTCAAGATCTTGTTGTGATTGTGTCGACTATAAAACGATTCATTATGAAGCTTTGACATCTCTAATTATTCGCTTTCTGAATCTGGTCAGTGTTTGTTTCAAAGTCTTCATGTGATGGCATGTATGCCATTTAAGTCCCAAATAGAGGTGTGTGATATAGTTGAAGTCAGAATTATTAGCCCTCCCTGTTGATTTTTCCTCCAATTTCTGTTTAACGGAGAGAAGATTTCTTCAACACATTTTAAAACATAATAGTTTAATAACTCATTTATAATAACTGATTTATTTTATCTTTGCCATGATGAAAGTAAATAGTATTTTACTAGATATTTTTCAAGACACTTCTATACAGCTTAAAGTGGCATTTAAAGGCTTAACTGGGTTGATTAGGTTAACTAGGCAGGTTAGGCAAGTCATTGTATAATGATGGTTTGTTTTGTCGAAAACAAAAATATATAGCTTAAATGGGCTAATAATTTTGACCTTAAAATGGGTTTAAAAAAAATAAAAACTGCTTTCATTCTAGCCTAAATAAAACAAATAAGACTTTCTCCAGAAGAAAAAAATATTATCAGACATACTGTGAAAATTTCCTTGCTCTGTTAAACATCATTCTTTTTAGTACCTATCGTAATATTTATTCATTTATTCATTCATTTTCTTTTTGGCTTACTCCCTTTATTAATATGGGGTCGACACAGCGGAATGAACCGCCAACTTATCCAGCACGCCCTTCCAACATCTGCTACGTAATAAATATATGTAATTAAATAAAACTATTATTATTAATTTAGGCTACTTTTATTTTATGAATAAACATGAACCACTTTTTAACCCGAAATTATTATTGAATCCTTGAACAGTCATCTGCATTATCATTATTTTTTTCACATCATTTAATATGTTTTATTTAACCATAATTATTTTTAACAGCTTTATTTTGGATTGTTTTACAAAAGAGAAAATCCAGAAGAAAATATCACTCAGTTGTCCTTTAATTTATGCAGAGGAGGAACCGGAAATACGTAGTCTTCTGTTGTATCCGCGCACATCCGCAGTACTGTTGTGTTTGTATTAATGGATGTTTAAGCGGTTTCTGCACACATTGCAGGACGGCCTGGCTCACGGGTCCAGCGCCTGTGCCTCCACCGCAGGCTGGACAATTTGGCGGAGTCTCAACACGGAGCCTCCAGCAGCATTAGAGGAACAATGAGCTCGGGACATCCGAGCGACAACGAAGAGCCGCGCGCTGATCTCCTGCGGGAGGAAGAGGAGGAGGAGGAAGAGGAGGAGGACAGCGATGAAGACCGGGGCTCCACGAGACCTGCATCACCGCAGGCGACCCGCGAGTGTGCCGGGACACAGGGCAGCTCGAGGCCGGAGGTGACCGCGGACGGCGGGACGGGCTCGGCTTCTGGTTCGGGCTGCAGGGGCTCCGGCGCCTGCGACTCCCTGTTCTCCTGGATCTGCAGGAGGAAGATCCGCAGGGGGCCGTACGTGGACCCCGCGCGGGACCATTTCCGTACCATGACACGACTTTATTCGTCCATGAGTCCGGCGGCGGATTCAGTGAACCTCAGCACACAAACCCACGGGGCTGTCTTTAACCTGGAGTACTCGCCGGACGGGTGAGCATGGGTTCAGGGATGCCCTTGTCACGAGTCCCTGTTTCTGAGTATCACTCTTGATTTAGTTCTTTATTACGCTTAAAGGTACACAAGTGACACAGAAAAACAAACTGCCAGGTGTGTGTGTGTGTGTGTGTGTCTGTGTGTGTTTTGTTTGTGCGCGCGCGCGCATTTAAAGGTAACTGGGTGAACAAGTCAAACAAAGTATATAAACAAGAGAACATAAAAATATACAACAAATGAAAGAAATGTGTTGAAAAAATCTTCTCTCCGTTAAACAGAAATTGGGGAAAATAAACAGGAGGCTAATAATTCTGACTTCTGTATATGTATTTTAAATTATAGGTAACTCACACCTGTGTAATGTTCTACTTTTTTTCTAGGTCAGTTTTGACGGTTGCTTGTGAGCAGACAGAAGTGCTTTTGTTTGACCCCGTTTCCTCCAGACATATCAAAACACTGGTGGAGGCTCATGAGGACTGTGTCAATAACATAAGGTACACATGCACCCCATATAATCAGTCACAGATTTTTAGGACCCTCGGTTAGAGGAGCAAAACCCCTTTCAGTTTTGAACAAGAACAAATTTCAAACAAGTTGCACACCGAAAACTAAACTTTCTAGTGCTAAAAATATCTGAAGCAATTAGTATTTCGGTTTTGAGTCTGCATTGTTCCCCTTTAATAAAAATTTCTAAAACTAGAAGATGCTTAACGCACAATTTGCATGACTTCTTTTATTTTTTTTACACTCACACAAAACACACACACTTTCTGACATGACTATAAAGTAATGGATGTTGTGTTCAGGTTTCTTGACAACCGGCTGTTTGCGACCTGCTCTGATGACACTACCATTGCATTGTGGGATTTGCGGAAACTCAACTCGAAGGTGTGCTCGTTGCATGGCCACGCCAGCTGGGTCAAGAACATCGAGTACGATACACACACTCGCCTGCTGGTCACGTCAGGGTTTGATGGAAACGTTATCACCTGGGATACCAACAGGTACGTTTCGGTGTTTATGCTCAAAATTGTAACTAAAGGAGCAAGTTTGAGTTTGTTTACATGTGAATATATCTTGAATCAATTACATGACATCCTCCAAAGAAAAGCGCTTGAATTTAAAACATTGGTTCCCCAAAAATGAAAGCTCTGTAATGATTAGAGTTGTGAAGATTAGGAAATTTCCCCACCGGTTAATCGACGTGACAACACCGGTAATACCAGTATCACTGTGGGGGTGGGGGTTTCCTCTTTTTCCTGCATTTAAATAGCTTATAAATGCGTGTGTATAATAATTTCACTTTCAGTTTTGCGGGAATTGCCAACAGGCGCTGCATAAGGGCGCTATACACACTACACAGCGTACACTGGCAGTATTAAGTGCTGAACTCCACAGGACCAGTTTTATTTGTTTTGTTATTTGCGTGTTGTTCCTTTTAAAAATACCTTTTATTTGTAAAATCTCTCAAGTTAATATTAGCTATCTGGTAACACAAGCTCCCTCACAGATATTGGAGTTCAATAGGGTGGTGCGCAGTAAGACTATTGACCAACACCGCCCTGTAAGTTTACACACTGCATAGACTACAGCTCTGGGGCCTCATGTATCAACGCTGCGTACGCTCAAACTTTGCGTACGCCAGGTTTCACACTCAAGTTTGAATTTACTACCAATGAAATGAATGTGGGAATGTGCGCTAGTCCACGCCAACTTCATGCCTGATGTACGAGCATTACTTGTGTGTGTTTGTTTTATTTCAATTGGTGAATCCTGGAGCCAGTTGTGTTAAATTGCACACTACAAAGTGTCTTTGAGCCGCGCAATGGCAGCTGTATGAGACGGGTTCATCCGCATGTCTAGCAGGTATATAAGGTTTCCATATGATGCAGTTGACCAGCCAAACATTAAAGCGCAACTTGCAGTGATCGCCGGTTTTCCCAATGTAATCGAAGCGATCTAAATTGCATACGTAGTAAGAAACATTTCCACTCAATAAATGTGCAAATAAAATATTACACACACACTTATTACTGATTCCTACTTGTCTTCCTCGTGATGAAGAGTAGGCAAAATCGGATATGTAGCGGGGGGAAAAAAGAAGAATGAGTTTAGTAGATGCTGGATTTGAACCGAGTTCATGCTCGAACGTGTCATAACATGTTGCCATGTGCTGAACGAGCTACGCCACTCGCGCTGTTAAAGACACTACAAAATTTTACACCTTTACATCGCACTATTTCTTTTTTTAATCCACTCTGTGCAATGTTCACACCCAACTGTGTTAACCGCGTCAGCTAAACTCCCACTCTTTATTTTTGTTTTCTTTTGTTATTAATTCCGGAGGACAAACTTGCAAATATCACAGTTTGTCTCCGGTCTACCTCTGAAAGCAGCACCTCCAATTCACATTCTGTTCAAAGTTTCTCTTTTTGCTTGCTTTTGCCATTGCTTTTTCGTTGGGTTTTGCCAAAGTAGAGTAAATAGCAAATTCATACGGGGGAAGAGGCAGGAAGGGGTATTGCGCTCGTGCACGTGCTCTCAGTTTCACGTTCATTCAGATGTACAAAGAGAGTATGCGTGAGATTTGGCGTACGCATTGTGTCATACATCTGAATATTTTACTGCGTACGCACAAAGCTGTAAATGTTTTAGTATGATTTCAACGCAAGTCTTCGTACATGAGGCCTCTGGTGTTTTATGAATTGCATGTTTTAAATAACAGTGAGACATGCTACAATTAGTTTTTATTGTGAAATATGCATTATAATCCAGTACACAGTAAAATAATATTTTTGAATGGCTTGCCTATTGGCGGCATGTTAAGCTTAAATAGGCTAAGCATATTTTTATTAATATTAAAACACATTAATACAAACTAGCCACTCTTTGATTTTTTTTTCCGTATATTTTTCATCAAACGAAAAATGCAATGAATTGTTTATTTTGGTGTTCATTTTATTAGAATTAATATAATTATTAGGCGACACAACTTCTACATAACATTGGCTGCGATTGTGTTTTACAGATATCCTACACAGACTTTTTGGCTCAAAGACATTTATGCCTGTTAATTTCAGTGCTGTATTTTGACAGATTTCGCAAAGGCTTCAGCTATTTTACCTGTCAGCTGGTACCAGCCTCAGTTTTGCGACTTGTGTGGCGTCTGTATCAATGTCTGGATGACAGCGAGAGAGAGAGAGATGAAATCAGACCTCAGATTCGATGTGTGGCCAAACGTCACATTTTCTTTACTGCAATTTTTTTTAATATTGGCTCATCTAAATGAACTTTACATTCGATTAAAAGCCGAAATATTGCCAGACAGGCGACGCAGTGGCACAGTATGTAGTGCTGTAGCCTCATAGCAAGAAGGTCGCTGGTTCGAGCCTCGGCTGGGTCAATTGGCATTTCTGTGAGGGTTTCCTCCATGTGCTCTGGTTTCCCCCACAGTCCAAAGACAGGCGGTACAGGTGAATTGGTAAGCTAAATTGTCCGTAGTGTATGTGTGTGAATGAGTGTGTATGGGTTTCCCAGTGTTGGGTTGCGGCTAGAACGGTATCTGCTGTGTAAAACATATGCTGGATAAGTTGGCGGTTCATTCCGCTGTGTGGACCCCAGAATAATAAAGGGACTAAGCCGAAAAGAAAATGAATGAATTTTGCCAGACAGACGAAGCAACTTTCGGTTTTTGAAAAGAGCGGCTTCATTGATTTATATACACACACACACACACACACACACACACAGGATACTTGTTGGCATATTCATTATTGATTTTTTTTTTTACATTAAATGCATAATAATCAAGTGCAAGAAAGAACAGCAAAACTTCGGTTCACTGCGGTTGCCGCGATGGTTGCTTTGTTTCTCTGCAGTTGGCTTATTAATGGCACGGCATTGCTAAATCACTCGTTTTAATAAAAAATACGATATTTATTATTAAACATTGTGAGATGAGGGTCGCTTTATTTTAAAATGAGTGTATGCGTTACATACTGATGGCTATTGATCTTATCCACCTGCGACCCACCCATAGTTGAACATCAAGTATAGGTGTGTTGAAGGTGCGTGTATAAATTAGTTGTTTCCTCCAGATGCTGCCACATTTGTCAAATAAAGTTTGCAGATTGCTTAATTAATGTTTTCAGGTTCTCTTTTTTGCATTTGGTTTGAACCCAAAATATTGACAAACAGGCGCTTTGCATTGCGTTTTGACACTAAATCGTTCGCCATTCTCTTTCTGTAAATTCGACTCCTCTCAATCTCCTCACTTGATAAATGAAATATGACGCATTGTAGTTGTTCAGATTTTAATTAGAGTGCATGCTCATGTCTTAAGTAAATTATTTAGAATTATATTTTCCATTTAATTCAAATAAATATTTAATAAAAAAAACAAATGTGGGGACGGTGTCACGGTGGAAAAATGATGTCACCAGTGTTGCGTCTTTAAACCGGTAACACTGTCTATTGTGGTAAGCCTAGTAATGATACTGTATGGTTTGGTACAGGTCACCTTTATCAGGCTCGTCTCCACTGCTAAAAGGGTACTGATAGGCATGGTGTATGACAAAGTTGCAGATAACTTCATTCTGGCTCGAGGAAATGTCAACCTAAAGCTGCACGGGTCATTCACATATCATATGAGAGGCACTTCTCACAAAACAGATGCTTTACACGCATAAACACTTGTGTGTAAATGTTAATTTGTAACCTTTCTATGAACATGATTTGATTATAACTGCAGATCAATTATATAAAATGAATAAATAAATGCAACATACATGAACACATACAGACCCTTACAGTCTCCTATATGATACCATCACAGTTTAAATACTGCCAATGTTACTGGTTGAATCCTAAAGTGGCGATGAGGTCTTAAAATGTATGGAAAGTTTTTAAAAAGCTCTTGAATTTCACTCTATGATGCTGTATATACCCTGTCATTACTGTGCTTTGTGTGTTTAGGTTTACAGAAGATGGCTGTCCGCACAAGAAGTTTTTCCACACGCGCTATCTCATGCGGATGCGTCTGACTCCAGACTGCAGTAAGATGTTGATCTCCACTTCCTCTGGTTACCTGCTCATCTTACATGACCTCGACCTCACTCAGAGCCTGGAGGTTGGCAGTTACCGCATCCTCCGGGCCCGCAGACCGCCGCTCAGCACAGGTACACACACACAGATGAACTATACAGTAGTGGTTAAACGTGATGTCTGGCCAGGGTAAATATTCCACAGCTTTTTAAAATAATAGTTAATAGACTGATGGATATTATGAAGTGTATAAGAGTTGACATTATTGATGACGGCAAACACTTCCATTTAAAAGTATGGGTTTGATAAGTATTACAACAGTTTTATAAAGTATTATATGTGCGCAAAGACTAGATTAATTTGATCAGAAGGTAATAGTTTAATTGAACTTATTTCTGTCATGACAACTGATTCTTTAGTGTGAAGTGATCATTTAGAAATCTCTATATATGACTATATTTTATCATTATATACACCCATCGGCCACTTTATTAGGTATACTTTAGTACCCCTTTTCCCTTCAGAACTGCCTTACTCCTTCGTGGCACAGATTCAACATGGTACTGGAAATTTTCCTCAGAGATTTCGGTCCATATTTGGTCAACACAGTTAGTGCAGATTTGTCGGCTGCACGTCCATGATGTGAGTCTCCCGTTCCACCACATCCCAAAGCTGCTCTATTGGATTGAGATCTGATGACTGTGGAGGCCATTTGAGTACAGTGAACTCATTGTCATGTTCTAGACAGCAGTTTGAGATGCGTGCTTTATGACATGGCTCGTTATCCTGCTGGAAGTAGCCATCAGAAGATGGGTACACTGTGGTCATAAAGAGATGGATATGGTCAGCAGCAATACTTATGTAGGCTGTGGCGTTGACAGGATAGTCAATTAGTACTAATGGGCCCAAAGTGTGCCAAGAAAATATCTCACACCATTACACCACCACCAACAGCCTGAACCGTGGATACAAGGCAGAATGGATGCATGCTTTCATGTTATTGACGTCAAATTCTTACCCTAGCATCCGAATGCCGCAGCAGAAATGGAGACTCATCAGACCAGGAAACGTTTTTCCAATCTTCTATTGTACAATTTTGGTGAGCCTGTGTGAATTGTAGCCCCAGTTTCCTGTTCGTAGCTGACAGGAGTAGCAGGTTATGTAGTGAGTCCTGGAGGTCATTAGGACCAGGGGTGCCTAAACTTTTTTATTTATAAATATATATAAATATATATTATATATAAGGGCCAAAAACCAATATTTATTATGGGTGGTGGGCTAAAGGTAAAGATACCAAACTTTATTACATTAAAGTCGACATTGGTGATTTCTTAATTTATTTAATATTTAAAAATAAAGAGCAAACGTTTCTTTATATTAACTACATTTTTATTTAACTTTAAATTTTATACTGAATTTATTTCTCAATCCCATTAATAACAGAATGGAGTTACTCTAGTCAAGCTACACCTGTGTTTTGCCTTGATTGGCTTGCTGATGTGTTCTGCATTGTCGTCAATCCGTTAAGTGACAGTATTATATAAAAAAAAATCAGATTCATTTACAAATTTAATTTTTAATTGGATACTATTTATTACTATTTAAATGTTCCAATATTTAATTGGAACATTTATTTTCTGTTTTTTGTAGCTCTGGAGTAAAACAAACACTAAAGTTACGTTAAATTAGAAAATACAATCTCTGTTAAAGGCGTTCGCCCCAACCCTCCCCATCATTCTCACTCTCTTCTCAGATGGGATAGTGGGCCAAATCAAAGGTTAAAATGGGAAACTTTAGCCCGCGGGCCCTGGGTTGGACATCTCTGATTAAGAATGAATTTCTTTGTTCTCTCAGAAGGTTCATCAGCAGGATCCAGGTCAGGAGGACCTCGTCACACTATTGACAACAAAAACCATCCACACAGAGAGGGTAAAACTTTATTATGTATATCTATCTGTCTGTCTATTTCCATCTCTGTCCATCTCTCGCTCTCTATCTTTCTCTTATCTTCCTTTATATCTATATATACAGTGCATCTGAAAAGTATTCACAGCGCTTCACTTTTTTTTTTCATTACAGCCTTATTCCATTTATTTCCTCAACATTCTACACACAATTCCCCATAATTACAATGTGAAAACAAGATTTTTTTTAAATTTCTGCAAATTTATTACAAATAAAAACCTGAAAAATCACATGCTCATAATTATTCACAGCCTTTGCCATGAATCTCTAAATTGAGCTCAGGTACATTCTGTTTCCCCTGATCATTCTTGAGATGTTTCAGCAGCTTCATTAGAGTTCACCTGTGGTCAATTCAGGTGATTGGACATGATTTGATAAGGCATACACCTGTCTATATAAGATCCCAGGGTTGACAGTGCATGTCAAAGCACAAACCAAGCATGAAGACAAAGGAATTCTCTGTAGACCACCGAGACAGGATTGTCTTGAGGCACAAGGCTGGGGAAGGTTACAGAAAAATTTCTGCTGCTCTGAAAGTTGCAATGAGCACAGCGGCCTCCTATCACCCATACATGGAAGATGTTTGGAATCACCAGGACTCTTCCTAGAGCTGACCGATCATCTAAGCTGAGGGTGAAGGGCCTCAGTCAGGGAGGTGATCAATAACCCGATGGTCACTCTGTCTGAGCTCCAGCGTTCTTCTGTGGAGAGAGGAGAACCTTACAGAAGGACAACCATCTGTGCAGCAATCCACCAATCAGGCCTGTATGGCAGAGTGGCCAGAAGCCACTCTCCACCTGGAATTTGCCAAAAGGCATCTAAAGGACTCTCAGACCATAAGAAACAAAATTCTCTGATCTGATGAGACTAAAATTGAACTCTTTGGAGTGAATGCTAGGCGTTACATTTGGAGAAAACCAGGCACAGCTCATCACCAGGCTTATACCAACCCTACAGTGAAGCATGTTGGTGGCAGCATCATACTGTGGGGATGTTTTTCAGCAGCAGGAACTGGAAGACCAGTCAGGATAGAGGGAAAGATGAATGCAGCAATTTACAGAGACATCCTGAATGAAAACCTGCTTCATATTCCAGCAGGACAATGACCCGAAGCACACCGCCAAAATATCAATGGAGTAGCTTCACAACAACTCAGTGAATGTCCTTGAGTGGCCCGGCCAGAGCTCAAACCTAAATCCTATTGAACATCTCTGGAGAGATCTGAAAATGGCTGTACACCGTCGTTTCCCATCCAACGTGATAGAGCTTGAGAGGTACTGCAAAGAGTAATGGGCAAAAATCCCAAAGACAGGTGTGCCAAGCTTTTGGCATCATATTCAAAAAGACTTGAGGCTGTAATTGCTGCCAAAAGTGCATCAACAAAGTATTGAGCAAAGGCTTTGAATAATTCTGTACATGTACATTTTCAGGTTTTTTATTTGTAATAAATTTGCTACAATTTCCAAAAATCCTTTTTCACCTTGTCATTATGGGGTATTGTGTGTTGAATTCTGAGGAAATAAATGATTTTAATCCATTTGGAATAAGGCTGTAACATAACAAAGTGTGGGTAAAAGTGAAGCGCTAGGAATTCTTTCTGGATGCACTGTAGATATATATATTTTTCTGTTTTTATATTTGAAACCGCCTTTACAGGTTGTTAAGTGTTTATATTTTTGTCGTTTGCTCAGGTTTATCCCCCAGAAACAGTCTTGAGGTTTTAACGCCAGAGATCCCAGGTGAGAGGGATCGAGGGAACTGCATCACCTCTTTACAACTGCATCCTAAAGGCTGGGCCACGCTCTTACGCTGCTCCAGCAACATGGATGATCAGGAGGTCAGTTGGATCTAAACTTAACTTTAGGTCTGGGCAAAATCACATGTATGTGTTTTTGGGCTAAACAGTGGTTTACAGTATATGTTTTAATTTAATTTAATTTTAGAAACTAAAAATCCCAATATATATATATATATATATATATATATATATATATATATATATATATATATATATATATATATGCAGGGCTCGAAATTGCGACCATTTTGGTCGCATATGCGCCCGAAAATTAATCTATGTGACCTCATAATATATATGGGAGCATTAGTGCGACTGCAGATAATGGTTGTAGTGCGACCTGTTTTGAATTTTTCTAAAAACGTGCTGAATCGCTCTTCCCTGCCGCTATATTGGTTTATATAAGCCATCAATCACGCAAGGAATTCCGCTGTCAGATGACAGGGAAGGAGCTTTTATGACCACGGGAAAAGGCAAACGGCTGAAGAATGAAAACTTAAAGCACGCAGGTTTGCAAACCCCACCTAAAGTTGAGGCGCAGATGAGAGTGATCATGACGTGGTGAATATTGATCCGCCAGCTGAGATCAATCGAGTACGTTTTCGGAGAAAGCGCTCGAATCTCGATGCGTTGCGTTCACTGCGTGTTCAGCGCAAATGTCCGCTAAAAGTCAAATCTAATACTGTACATATCATCGCCAAAAAAGCTCGCATTTACTAAGTTTACACTGAAACTGCGGCTCATAACAAACAGCGGTATTCCGCCGGTGGTCACCGCAAGAATCCTGCTCTGCCTGCTCATAAATGGGGTCGGCTGACTCGCCCTGCTGTTCCACTAACACAGAAAAATGAAAATCAGCTCAGACTGAACATTTAAATTGACACAAACTGAAACCAAAACTTTTAAAGAGTGATAGAAGTGAGACTTTACTTATTTTCTTTTGTCTATTTTTTCTTGAGATGTATATATTTATTTATTTAGTTACTGATGACTGTTTTGCAGCTTTCATCCTTAAATTTAATTATTTATTATAATCTTTTGTTTATTTTGTAGCAGAAATATTATTTATTAAACTGACATGCATATATAAACAGCAGTACAAAATAAATATTTCTTACTGCAATGCTTAATTTTTGTTTGATGTAAACTATACATTTGTTTTTCATAAAGTAACAGACTTTTTATAGCAGAAAACTTGCATTCAAGCACATTCAAGGCAGCATGATAATGACAAATGTAATTCATTGTTACTATTATTGTCATTTTCCTCATCATTAATATTTTATATTTATTAGACATTCATTTTAGAATTATTGCACACAAATATCAATGTCATCACAGCATTAGTTAGATAGTTGCTCCTAAATTTTTGAAGTTGGGAGCACCGGTGCTACCAAGTAAAAAAGTTAATTTCAAGCCCTGTATATATATATATATATATATATATATTTTACATTTTAATAATAACGCATACGAAAGACATTTAAGAATCAGTGTGCAAAAACCTTTTGTCTATGAAATAATGAGTATTTCAAAGTATTTAAAAAATAATGCATAAACGTGTGTGACTAAAGTAAAATATGTTGGCGTTCATGTAACTATCTGATCTCTGTGTTCCCAGTGGACGTGTGTGTACGAGTTTCAAGAAGGAGCTCCACCTCGACCTCCAGTGTCTCCACGCTGCTCGCTGCGTCTCACACACTACATCGAGGAGGCAAACGTCGGCCGCGGATACATCAAGGAACTGTGCTTCAGTCCTGACGGCCGGCTCATCTGCTCTCCGTACGGTTACGGTGTGCGTCTGCTGGCGTTCGATGAGAACTGTGCGGAACTAGTGGACTGTATGCCCGTTCGGACGGCTCAACTAAGGGAGGTTCGCTCCATCTACTCTCACAGCGATGTGGTGCTCACCTCCAAATTCTCCCCCACTCACTGTCAGTTCGCTTCAGGCTGCCTCAGCGGACGCGTAGCTCTGTATCAGCCACACTTTTAACACTTGCAGATCAATTTAAACTTGAAAATCCACACTGATGTCCTGCGAATGGAAGAAGCTCAATCTGGAGAACAGGAGAGCCAAACTACCTTAAAGGAACAGAGTGTTTATTTTTGTTTATTTGTGTGTGTGTGTGTGTGTGTGTGTGTGTGTGTGTGGTAAGTATGTGTGTGAGAATGACCTTGTACATGTTTGTCAGTTTTAGATGTGTGTCCTCGACACTGTTTGAGGAGGGAAAGAGGAAGCATTCAGATTTTTCAGGGGTTGAATGAGTCACTCTGTTCATTCAGCACTGCAGTGAACGCTTCAGCCCATCATTTTCATGAAATCGCAAGCAGTCGATGGCAGTTTTTTTGCAGTTTGCCAAACATTTTAGATCTCGCGATGCCATATTCATATTCAGAAGCTTCATTTTTGGAAGTTTGTCACTTTTATGGATTGTTTGTTTTTATGTTTGGACTGTTTGTCTTTAACAACACTAACTGAAGTCTGCTTTGTTTTGTCAAAGCAGTGTGTGTGTGTGTGTGTGTGTATCTGTGTCACTGTGTGCGTGAGAGAGACCGTATTGAAGGCGATATGATGATAATTGACTCCTGAATGGACTGGGAGTTTTAAAATGTTCAGTTTTTGTCATACACTGTAAACAAATGTCCTCAAATGAACAGTTTTCCTGTTTTGCTATTTGTTTTCATTTATTTCTGCTTGTGAATTGTATTATGGGATCTTGATCTTTCAGCAACTTGAAAATTAGAATAGTTTGAAAGATCTATTGTCTGTATGGGTGTTGTAAAATATGGTATAAAAACCTAAGAACAAACTGCCAGGTGTTATTTTACAGATTTAATTACGTATATCATTTATTTTACAATATATAACTTCAAACTACTAAAATGTCGATAAGAGTTGAATTTTCAACATCAGAAGTCGACACAGCAGAGATTAATCTCCCACAATGCAATTCACAACTGTAAATAAACAGAAAACGTCCAGGAATCACAAAATATGCAAACTGTTAATGATCCGATATTTTTTACGCAGTGGATGCTGGACTCTACATGGACAATCAGCAGTTCTGGAATGTTCCGATGCTCACGACGCACATCGCTGGAGATTTGAACTCAAGGGGAGATGCAGGTTTAGATGTCGCATGAGTGTTTTGTATACAGTTGGACTAAAGGTGAAGGACAGGAATCTGAATGTTCAACTTTTTCGGAACCAGTTTTCAATGGTTCCTCCTCCTCAGAGTGATCATTCTTAAAAATGCAATTGTGAAAGCAGTGGAACAGGGAAAGTCTATTCACGTTAACCTTACTAAGGATGCAGTGGTACAGATATATTAAATAAAGGATTTTTTCATATCTTCTGTTTGCCATGGGGAAGATAAATGCTGTAAATGGAAGGAGGAATGAGACTTTGAGGATAATTAGAATAATGAGTGCGCTGAATAACATCAGAATCTGCTTTAAAGGATTGGGAGAAATAAAAAAATGCATATGAGCTAATTATTTTCATAAATCAGAGAGTTTATATATACAGTTAGGTCCATAAATATTTGGACATTGACACAATTCTAATATTCTTGTCTCTAAACACCAACACAATAGATTCTTGGCAAACAAGATGTGCTTTAACTGCAGACTGTCGGCTTTAATTTGAGAGTGTTTACATCCAAATCAGGTGAACGATGTAGGAATCGCAACAGTTTGCATATGTGCCTCCCACTTGTTAAGGGTCCAAAAGTAACTGGACAGAATAATAATCATAAATCAAACTTTCGCTTTTTAACACGGTTGCAAATCCTTTGCAGTTAATTACAGCCTGAAGTCTGGAACACAGACATCAGCAGACGCTGGGTTTCATCCATGTTGGTGCTCTGCCAGGCCTCTACTGCAACTGTCTTCAGTTCCAGCTTGTTCTTGGGGCATTTTCCCTTTAGGTTTGTCTTAACATCGAATTGTGTCCAAATATTTATTGACCTAACTATATATTCAAATATTTGGTGTCAGATTTTGTAAGATTTTATTTTTATGTTTAAAAAAAGATTCCTGTGCTCACCAAAGCTGCATTGATTCAATCAAAAATAAATCCTCAATGTGAAATATTGACATAATCAAGTAACACAATATTTTTAGCTGTAGTTACACTAGAGTTTGATAATGTGAAGTTCTGTCGTGCGGCGCTGCGAAAAGGGAAAGGAATAAACTAAATTATTACACATTAAAAAAAGCGAGCGACTGCTCCATGTTTTTAATTTTTGTCCAAAGAGATCGTGTTTTGATCCTAGATTGGTCTCGTGCAGTCAAGTGATGCAATTTCGCAGGTCAGAGTTCACCAAGCTTGAACTTTGAACCGCAGCAACCTGCCAAACTTGTCGCATGGCCTTGCGTTTCCGGTCTGACGCATTCGCGTGCGTATGAATGGAAGTCTATGGGGAGAAAAGTCCAGTATGACCGCAGCTTTGCTTGAACTAAGAATTTTGTTTTAGATATTTGGACGAAAAGAGACAAAGCAAAGTAAGAAAAGCATTTTTGCACCGTGATTGTTTCAGTACATAAATATTGTTAGACTGCATAGAAAACCATCAAATAGTGCTGTTCAAGTTATCTTATGATTAGCGAATTAGCTAAAAGGAAATCGAAGATTCATTTAAACGGCTACAAAAGAATCGACTCTTAAATCCGAACAAACGAATCATGCAGCGGTTGTTTGAATGATCAGTTGACTTCAATTACAGCTGTTGCTAACAAAAATACAATACTCTTTTTATGTTTAAGCAGCGTAGCAAGATCGAAGTTAAGACATTAGATTCATAAATATGCAGACACCTTTCTTTATACAAAATGACACGTTATTGACTAACAGAAACACCAACACACATTCATACGTGTGGAGAAGAGTAAAGAAAGTAAAATAAGAGTTTGAGTGAATGTAATGAATATACACCTCGGATTTTGTAAGACCAAACAAGCCAAAAATGATCAAATTAACCCTTGTATGGTCTCTTTAGGGTTGCATTTAGTTTACACCAGTTCAGATGTAGCCTGGAAGTGTTACTTGAGTTTCCTTTCTGATGTGAAGAAACTCCCTCTGTTAAGCATGTGGCTAGCTGGTTGTTCTTTGTCCTCGTGAGGCTTGGAGTGGGGTGGAGTCAGTCGTTTCAAGTCTTGGAAGATGCAAAAATGCTAGTCGTGATGACTAAACTAGACTCTTTACAGAAAAGAAAGAAAGGAAGGTATCAGAGATGGGAATGTCTGAGCTGTGCGATTAACCCATTTTGTCTGCGTGCCTGCCTACTCCCTGGAGTCCTCTGGGGTTCAAGTGTTGGGTTCAAGTCTTTCTCTGGTCTGTAGTTTTCTTCTAGTTTCAGGCGTTCTTCTCTGGGGTCTTAGGCTGGTAGTTTTTATAAGGATTTTTTGTACCCACCCTCCATGGCTAAGTTGACCAATCAGAAGTTAAACTTTTGGTTTGAAAGCATGTGCATTTGCATAGGTCTCTGGTGTAAACTGATGTAGAAATGTTCAAGTTTCTTAAAATGTAAATGCGTTGCACACGTATTAACATGAAACGTAAACAATTGTTCAGTACACCAAATTTACCCAGCCAGCTGATGTTTCTGTGCGGAGTTTACACATTTTCCCTGTGCTCATGTGGGTTTCCCCCGGGTTCCCCGGTTTCCTCCCACCGTCCCAAAGCATGCAACTTAAGTTATTTGACTAATCCAAATCGGCACCATAGACATGCTCCTAGTAAGGCCCCGTCCGCATTAGCGCTTCACCTAGCGTTTCTGAACATATCTCCTTCCACACTACGCCACCAAAAACGTATATCATGTGACCATTCGCACACTCTGGACATGCACGTTCTAGTATAAACAGGAAGCATGTGTCTCGCTCTGCATTAGGTTATTGTTAGTCAACAAACGTAGGTTGAACAATAAAAGCGATGGCAAAGAAAGCAAGAGAGGCATTTTTGTGGACAGACGACGAGGTTGAGTTACTAAACATTACAAATGAATAACTGCACAATGGCGCCTAAAACAGACAATAGTGCAAACAACGCTCCCATTTCTGTGTCCATGTTGTTGTTTACAGTGAAGGCTGGTCTGCTGTCTTTCGGTAGTGTTAAAGCCATGTGTTATAGTCATGTGATAGGTGCTTGACGAATAAGGGAAGGATACGCAATGACACAAATGCCCCAATCAGGTAGCGAACCTCAGCAGCCCCGCCTCCGTTTTCAGATGTCTCCGTTTTTCCCCATCCACACTTAGACGGAGCAGCAGCGTTTCAGAATGAAAACAGGCTCTCCAACGTTTTCAAAATGCTCCGTTTTCGGCGCTTGGAAAACTGCGGCATAGTGTGGACGAATGGCGTAACCGTAGCAAAACTTATGCGTTTTCAAACTAAAATGCATTAGTGTAAACGGGGCCAAAGTAGTTATCTCTTAAGAACAATCCCTATCTGTTCATTAGCTATTACAGCAGGGGAGTTCTCGAGATCTACCTGAGCTCAAACTCCCCTCACACCTTGCAAATGGGAGGGAGCCCCGAGCTCATGCCAAAACGGGGACAGCATGCCAAACAAGCTTTATAATCAATCATCAGCTAAGTGTGAACTCTTGAATTGAAAAATCTTAATAGAATTGATTAAATGCAGCCGAAGAAACTGAAGCTTTTTGTAAAATATTGAATTCAATTTATTACAATATCATCACATTCTGAGTGTAGAAAACCAGCTACAAACTCAGAGTCTCGTTCACATATGAGGCATCTTCAGAATTCTGTATTAACGGTAATAAAAAAGAAACACATTCAATGATTGACACAATGTCTCTCAACCTGCGACAGACCGACTCAGTTTCATAAATCACTTGCGGTTAACTTTGTTAAGACGCTGCTGCTGTTCTCGCCGGCGGTTCAGGATCTTGGTGCTGGCTCGGAGTTTGCGCATCCGCATGGCTCGGATTCGTACCTGGTTATCCCGAGGCAACTTCCCACCCCTGGCCAGGATCTGCTTCAGACGGTCTTGGGATGTCTTGGTGAGGGTGAAGTCACAGATGGTGGCCTGCGGCTCAGACCCTACAGAGCAGTGGCGGATGCGAGGGAAGTATCCTTCAGCCCACACCGTGATCTTATAGTCGCCTGGGTTCAGCAAGCGCCAGTAATCCCCATCTACAGCTGTAAAAGTCAATCAAACTCAGAGATTGTGCTGGTCAATCTAGCTATTTAATATGAGCTTTATATGAGTTTTTGTGGAGAAAACATAATTGTTGAATGCTCAATCCACTTCAATTTGTAAAATCAATCAATTGATTTGTGTTGGGACAACATGATATGTGGAACCCAGCATTTTTACAGTGTGTGAGTGTAGCTACAAATGTGTGCATATAGAAATTCAATGTGAATATAAAATGTTCACACTAAGAAATGAAAAGTAAATTTGGCAATTATGTAGAAAGGCCAGTAAAGTAAAACTTCTAAATCAGAAACACTTAGATTTTTTGTACCCTGATAGCTTTTGGTTTAATGCTTGTGTTTATATCTAGAATACAGTGCTCAGCATATATAAGTACACCCCCACAAGTCTCTCATTTAAATTAATATTTTCCATAAGATGCTTTACAATATTATATTTGTGTATATACATTAGTTTAGTCAGTAG